CAGATGTAAGACTGTTTGTATGGTTCCAGTGACTTGATAGAAAAGCTTCAAATGTGTCTTTACTTTGCATCAAATGCTCTATTACAGTGATATCCATATGGGAATTAACAGTGGTAATCTGCGATATTCAACCAAACGTATCAACTTTACTAGCCCTTTAATCCACTCATTTTCTTCTGAGATACAACTATCAAACAATCAGAACAAATCTTATCACATTTAAACTTCAGGAACTTATTATGCTTTCTCTATTGCTAAATTCTCAGAGCATAAAGTTTGGTTCCCAAAAGTAATATCTAAGTCTTGAGTTGAGCCAATTTTTGTAAGAATAATATGTAAAATGATGAGGTTCGTTCCTAAACACAGGAATAAGGCAAGAGTTTTTTTATTCAGTTTATAGATTTTACAAAATTATAAATAGCAACCACGCTGTCATTTTTTTAAAAACACATAAGCCCCCATATGAAACTATATTAGTGTACTATGTTATATAAGCATCCACCTATAAATTACCAAAGAACTGTCAATAAATTTTTTTAATTCAACTTTAAATGCTCCAAAGTTTAGACAGATGTTATCCTACTTTCTCTGAGCAGCTGTTCATTGGACATGTTCCTTATTTATTGATATACTGTGTTCAATGCTAGGGTCACATTTCTTAAACAGGAACTTGGCAACTTCCAAATTCCATGGTAAATATTGACATATCTCAGCATGTCAATATTTATACTGTCAAGACTTTGATGAGTCTCCTCAACAATGGCTGCATCTTATTTCTTAGCAGCCGCTTGCTTCTGTTCCAGTTGAGCAAGGTCTTTCTTTATTCAACAGCATCTTCTCACACAAAGACCTGATTGACTTTCTTGCTTATTTCAACATTTTGGACCCTTTTACAGGGTTAGTAGAGTTCAAAGAAACAAGGCACAAATTTAGCAAGAGCTGCTTTTGATTACTTGATCCCAAGCCTAATCACCATTTTCAACCCCACTGCTGGAGTTGAAAGCTGCTGAAGCCTTTTCAGAATTTATAGTCAGATTATTTCCTTTTCTGCTAGTCCTGAAGGCTATGCAACATTATAAAAAGATTGGTTTATGGACTACGACAATGATGATAATATTCAGAGGACAGTTTAAATTTAAAATGTTTACCATGAAAGGTAGTTAGAAGTCTGGCTCATTATTTACAATTAAACAGTGTCTTTGTTTTGTTTTGTTTTTTTAAAGATTTATTTATTTATTTGACAGACAGAGATCACAAGTAGGCAGAGAGGCAGGCAGAGAGAAAGGGGGAAACAGGCTCCCCGCTGAGCAGAGAGCCCAATGCGGGGCTGGATCCCAGGACCTGGAGACCACAACCCAAGCCCAAGGCAGAGGCCTCAACCCACTGGGCCACCCAGGTGCCTCTAAACAGTGTTTTAAATACAAAATCACCTAGGTTTTGTGCCAAGTATCAGAAATTATGTTAACAAACTAATTATCTTTAACTCAACCTTAACAACAAATTTCCATATCACTGTGAGAAAAACCTTTGCAATATCTTGAAAATAGCCTGGGATTTCCCAATGGCACACAATCAAAAGTTTAATTTAAAGCTATTGGCAGTACTGGCATCTACCAAAAGTATGGATGCCTCATGAGCATTTTGGAATCCTAGCATGGATTTCCCGCTTTGACGCAACAGAAGTCTCAAGGCTGTTCTTCTAAAAAGAGCCCCATTTCATCAACATTAAAAACTGCTGACTATAATGACAATGATAACCCTCTGTTCATTTCAGCCAATGTCTTAGGGAAAAGAGCACAACTCATGTTCTCATCAGCGCTGGCAGCTTCACAAATGACAAGGAACAAACTGCCCTGGACTATAAAATTATTAACTACCTCCTACCTGTATAAAAACAATCCTTCTATTATTTTAAGGACAGCCACCTTTTTCCTAGAGAACAAGGTATAGCAAACAGACCACTGATTTTATACCCAAAAGAGTCAGCTTGAAATCAAAACTCTACTGCTTCATAGCTAAGTGACTTTGGTCACGCCATTAATGCATTAAAACATTTACGACTGCTTCCTACGTACCAGGCTTTGATATCCCCAGAATGAGTAAGACACATTCTGATCTCTCTAGTGAGATTAAAAAAAAAAAAAAAAAACCACCCAAAAATAATTATTTTACAAGCTTGTAAAGTGCAGAGGCGGGATGGTATCTCCTCTCAAGAGTTCATGTAAGCCAGCCTAATATTTCAGGGAAGGCTTCCCTGAGTTACACCTGATATGAATTAAAAGGTGAAAAGGAAAGAGATAAGAAAAGGCACTCCATGCAGAAGACCCTGCATGAGCAAAGCCTTGGAGACAAGAAACAGCATAATACCTGGAAACCACAAACAATTCAATGTTTCACAATGACTGCAAATGAAGGATGACTAAATTCAAATACCAAGTCAAATTCATTCACTCAACCAAAACATGCGCACTTCTATGCATCAGATAGTGCTTTAGAATTTGGCATAAGGAAACAAAAGAGATAACAACTCTTTCCTTTGGAGACCAACAATGAAAAAAACACATAATAAATATGTAAAATATATAGTATGGTGATAAGTGCTAGAGTCAAGGGAGAAGATAAGATAGAGAAAACCGGGAGTACAGAGGCCAGTGGGGGAAAGGGGGATAGTTGCAAACCTGCAATTTTATTTATTTATTTTTAAGATTTTATTTATTTATTTGACAGAGAGAGATCACAAGTAGGCAGAGAGGCAGGCAGAGAGAGAGGAGGAAGCAGGCTCCCTGCTGAGCAGAGAGCCCAATGCAGGGCTTGATCCCAGGACCCTGGGATCATGACCTGAGCCCAAGGCAGAGGCTTTAACCCACTGAGCCACCCAGTCGCCCCAGCAAACCTGCAGTTTTAAATAGGAGGTTGAGGTAGGCTTTATTGAAAAGGTGATGTTTGAGTACATACATGAAGATCAGTTGTGAGGATGTCTGGGAAAAATCATTCCAAGCAGATGAAGCAGCCAGTGCAAAGGCCCTAAGGCAGAAGTGGGCTTAAGAAACAAGGAAGCCAATATGGCTAAGATAGAGTGAGGGGAGAGCATACAAAGGGCTGAAGTCAGGGAGGTAATAGGAAAACAGATCATGTAGAACTTTGTAGGCCCATGTCAAGATATTAGCTTTTATCATGAATCAAATGAGAAGTCATAAAATGGTTTTACGCAAAGAAGTAATGTTACATTTCTTCTAATAAACTTTTTATTTTGGAGTAATATTGAATTTACAGGAAAGTTGCAAAGATAACACAGAGTTCCCATATACATCTCACCCAGTTTCCTCCACTATTAATGTCTGGAATTCAGAAAGAGAGGGAACTAAGAATATGAATTCAGGAGCCTTCAGTATACACAAGGTTATTTAAAGTCATTAAGACTTGATGATATAATCAAAACGAAGTGTAAAAAGAAGAAAAGAAGAGAAGCAAAGATTGAAGCCCTGGAACACTCAGCAGTAAGAAATCAAGAAGAACAGAAGGAAGACAGAAGGAACCAGTAAGGTAGAAGGAAAACCAAGAGTGTGATGTCCTGGAAATGAAGTGAAGAAAATATATCATGAAGAAGGAAGGAATTAACTATGTCAAAGTTTGCTGATAGTTCAAATACAAAAAAAGATGGAATGATTAACACCTGGAAACCACTGGTGACACTAAGAAGAGGTTTGGGGGGAAGGGTGGGCCAAAAGCCATGCTGGAATGATCTCAAAAAAAGTACAGAAAAAGAGGAATGGGGATTTGGAATATAAAATCCTTAGAGGATTTTTGTTCAGAAAAGCAATAAATGAAGAAGTGAATAAATGGAGAAAAGTTAAGAGAAGCATTTCTTAAAGTTAAAAGAAACAACATGCAGGTCAAATGTGGGTCTTAATCTAAGAGCCACAGGGGAAAGAATATAAAAAAGAGGGAGGAGAAGAAGGACAAAGACAAACACTAGAACATAAAGAGCCTTAATCTTAAACTGCTGGTGTCTAGTTGGGGATTAGAGAAAACAAGCAGTTAAGTAAAGCCATTATCTTTTAATATATGTGCCCATCAGTGAATTTTAAAAAAGGAAATCATGCAAAAGGAAACCATTAACATTATCAACACCAGATATAAAGTAAAAAGAGAGGAAGGGGGATGAGGGAGGCTGACTACTGGTAAAAATGAGGGAGGCTGACTACTGGTAAAAAAGCAGTATCATTTTAATTCGAAAACCATATATTAGGTTCCCAAGAACTATGCGAACTGAATACATCAAAACACTTGTTTCCCCATTTGGGTTATGCAAAGACAAAAACGGGTGGAAAATAAAGCTTCACCTAATGGGATTATCCAAACTAAAAGAAGCTAAATACTACTACTGATTAAAAGAGAAAGTTGGCATGCGATTCCTCTCCCTGATGGAACACTTCTCTAGAATACCTGTGCAACCACTCAACTCAGGAAAGGGCAGTTTCTTTCCATTTGTCACTACACCCAGTTTCTTACTCCAAAGGGCCTAGTATGCTTCAGGCTCCGGGTGAAACCAACGGACAGTTTACAAAGAGCGAGGGATTGGGAGACAGGGAAGACCAGAGTCCGAAGTGTCCCAACACTCTACTCAACACAACCCTCCGGATTCAAATGCCTTCCTACTTCCACAACCATTACAGGGCACTGCAACGGCGCTCTGCATTGTACAGAATCCCCCGGTGCAAAGGGAGAAACTGAACGAGGGCGTAGCAGGTGCACACCCTGCGCCTACGTTTAGAGAACCCAGGCGTCCCCGAGAGTGCATCAACGGAAGGTCCAGGAGCTTACACATTGAGGGGGCTCCGAGCTAGGAAAAATCATGCACTGAGGAATTCTAGAGGGAAATAATAGGGAACGAAAAAAGAAAGTGAGAAAAACAACAACAACAAAGGACAGCACAAAGAACCATTACTACTACTAACTTACTATTACTAACCTACGCAGCTCACACTTCCGCACCCTACCTCGCAGTGCCTCCACTTCCGGTCTCCTCCAAAAGGCCCGCTCCCACAGACAGACGTCCCACAGCCAATGAGAGTGTGGTCCACTTCCGCAGGGGCGCATGACGTCTTTTAGGTCCTGCCTTTTCCGGTCGTGAAGAGCCTATCCTGGTGTCCGGGTCGCGCGTATCGGGAGGAGGGACCCTGACAGGCCCAACCGGATGCGGGGAGGGAGCGAGAAGGGCAGGCGGGGCGTGCACGCCTCTTCCGCCCTGGGCCCGGAAGGGTGATGTGGCTGGGGCTTCGCCGGCCTCACTATGGTAAGATTTGGGGCGGTGGGGTCGCAGCTGAACTTGGTGAAGGGGCTCCGGGCGCGAGCTAGGGCTGGAGGGTTGGGCGGCGGCCCTGGGTGCGCGGGCCAGGGAGCCCTGTCACCACCTTGATTCTGCCGGGGCTGGGAAGATGCTCAGGCCCGGGAACCATGTGGCCCCTGCACGCCCAGCCAGGGAGAACCGGGGCGAACCAGGGCCCACCGTCCCCAGAGAGATCCCGCGGTCGCAGGTCCCAGCGCCTCCCGCACAGTCTACCTTCCTGACTTGTTTCGGAGAACTGCGCTGGTTGCCTTAACCCAGTCGTATATACAGACTCTTTCTGGTCACTGACTCCTGGAGGCATGGAGCTTCAGTTTGCGCGGATTATTTCGCGTTCTCTGACGTCTCTCCGGGCCTGGTTCAGGTGTTCCACTGTTGGTCTAAACCCCAAGCTCCACATCTTAATTGGGGTCTGTTGAGGTAGTGACCTTTCAGGCTCTTCCTGCTTTGCAAACTGTAGGTTTTAATTATTGGCGATCTCCGGAGAAGTGGTTTTTCTTGTAGGAATGTACTTAAGGTGGTGTTTGACCTCGGACCTGCCTTCCCCACACATTTTTAAGGTTGTATGTATTATTTTGTGTTATTGCAGATTCCTTTGATAGTTTGGGCCTCTTAGGAAAATTTAAAATGAGTCACAAAAAGTTTTCAAAAGAAATGCCTGGATCTCCAGGCAGAGAAAAAACGTAAAATCAGCATGGCAGAGGACAGATGTAGTGGTAGTGTAATAGTGAAATCCCCCAAGTTGTCTCAAGCCCTTTTACCTTTGTTATGGTAAATGCCAACAGCCTCTACACCCGGTGAACTTAATGAAATCCACGGGCCAGATGTTGCATTTATGAGCATATTTCTGGAGAAAGGATGCATGCCTTTATTATAGTATCAAAAACAACCATGACCCCCCAAAAAAGCTATTGTGGGATGAAAGCTACTGAGCTTACGTTTCCAGAGGTTCCTGCAGAACCCCATACAGCACTAAACCTTTAGGCGTTTAATTGAAAGGCCCTAGTACTTTGATTATAGATTGGACACAAGTCACAGCGTCTTTCCTGGAGAACTTAGAAAACGGCAGTTTATTCTTAGTCAAGAATATACTCCAGCATCTTAGCCGAGCTGCCACAACCGGATGAGTACATGTGCTTTTAGAGTGCCATTAGAGAACTGTTACTTATTTAGAGAATTTGATGCCTTTTTCATTTGAAAAAGAATAGATGTTGTTACTCTTTCTTCTCCTTTTTCTTTTCTCTTTTTTTTTTTTTAATAATGTCTACCTGCAACAAGAGTCACATGCTGTAATGACTGAGCCAGCAAGGTGCCCCTAGAAATTGTCACTCTTAATTCTTGCATATCTTCCTAGATGCTGAAGTTTAATTATTCTACTCATAGTACAAGTCAAAGATTTATTTTCATCATCTTAGCTTCTTCGAACTAGCTACTAGCAAGACTGATACTGTGTTTAAGATTAACATTAACTTTTAAACTTCAGAATGCCTTTTTCTCCCTCTTAATATCCTTAAAGATTTATCTCAAGTTTTATCTCTTCCCAAAAATCCTTCCCTACCCCATCTGTTTTCTTCTCCTGGGTCTCTATTTGGGCATCCATAGCCCATGTGTATATACCTCCAATGTACCTCCAGCCATAGCACTTACCACAAAAAACAAACAAACAAACAAAACAGCAATACATGGTTGCCTATATTTCTTCCCTCTGTAGCTGGAGTTTTCTAGAGACCAGGTCTTCTAGTATCTACATCACAATGACAGCTAGAGTTAGTACTCAGATGACTCTACATCTGGGGAAAGAGAGTCATGCCCAGTTCAGTTCAAATTTCTGAGCAGCAATAGTTTTTCTAAGCTCCAAGTAATTTTTTTTTTTAAGATTTTATTTATTTATTATTTGAGAGAGAAAGATTGTGAGAATGAGTAGGGGGAGGGGCAAAGGGAGGGAGCCCAACAACGCAGGACTCCATTCCAGAACTCTGGGATCATGACCTGAGCCGAAGGCAGACACTTAACCGACTGAGCTACCCAGGCGCCTAAAAGCTTCAAGTTACTCTTATGAACAGCCAGGCTGCATACCACATTTGACTCCAACTATTGAAAAGTTTTTCCCTTTTATCAGGCTTTGTCATTTCTGACTGTATGGTCAGAACACTTTTCTTCATAACAGGAATTGCACTTTGGCCTTTGGATACTTTTGTCTTATCAAATTATCAAAAACATGTGAGGTATTTATTGCTTCATTTTTTTAAAGTCTGCTGCTTATCATGGTTCTGTGTATGCTTTCTCCAATTAACACCTTTGATCCCCTTGTTGCTTTATATTTAGATCTCTGGTGTCTATAAAACCGCTCTGAAACTAAGCAACACAAACATAGCAAATGAATTATAGATACCATGACAGTGAGATGAAAATAAGTGCAAATTACCACCTGTGTTACCAGTGGAGAACAGAATTGAGGTGCTTCTGCTCTGAACTGTACCTTTCCTCACAGCCATGAAAGTTCTTTAAGTGGAAAGGTTCAGTAGAAAAGGTCTACATTTTTGAAATAGGACCAATGAGATCAAATGGGTATTTAGTCCAGCTCCTCATTTTACAAGTGAAATTAAATTAAACTGATAATTTAGAGGTACAGATTTATCCAAGGGCAAATATGTATATCGGTTTATTTCCTAAATAATGCAAATGCATAGTGACCACTGATGTTAAGAGATAGGTTCTTAACATTAAAACATTAAGTAATCCTGGTTTCTTGGTTTCGAATTAAACAAGATAATTTGCCTACCTTACAGTAAGTGCTACCTTACAGTAAGCAACAAAGGTTGAACTTAATGCTAATAACACCAAAGGTCGGTATTTCTGTGTGTTAATGGAAATATTATTAATCACCTGTGATTACTTATCTTGGGCAAGTGGGGGGTGTTTGCATATTTATTTACAGGCTTCATTTATCCCTGCATTTCCATGTGTTCCAGTTTAAGAGAAAATAGTGGTACATATAAATTTACAAGTAGAGACTTGTTGGAAAATGCTGGCCCGACCTAGATTTGTAAATGATAAAATGCTGACCCACTTTTGCAGTACTGTATAATTTTTATCGCAATTAGGTCAGGAATATCATTTCTGGGTCTCCTTCCACCTTCTGAGAGGGATAGATGACTAGTTTTGTGTAAAAAGCAGCAAGTCTTAAAACAAGTAAAATTGTTACTATTTAGAGTTTTAAAAATTCTAAGTCTTTGGTATTCAGCTCTTCTTTTAAAGTGAATTTCAGTTAAACTGGAGGAATTAATACGTCCGTTACTTCCACATAAGATGCAGTCAACATTTGAAGCTCCCATACGGTTATGCATGAAGAAGGCCCTTAATCAACAATTGGTTAAACAGTTTATTTTGATAGTGCTAAAAATAAATATATAAGCTATACGGAGCTCAAGTGATCCAGGACTAATGAAGACTGTAGGCTTAGGCTTTTCTATAGATTAAGTACAGTTAGCAACCAATCACTGAGCACTCCAAACAACTGTTCAGCATATTAATATGTATATTTCTGCTGCCTTTCTCATTGGTTCTTCGTGCCTTTATACCGCTGGGATCTTCTCCCCTGTTTTTCTCTCTATTCCTAATGTTTCAGATGGTTTCTTAAACTATTTTTATATATACATTTAAAAACAAAACTTTACACTGAATTCTTGCCTTATATCCAAACTTAATAGTTTGAACATTCATTTCTGGCTGAAACAAGAAATTGTATCTTCTTAGGTAAAATGATAAAAATTGAAATTGCAGTAAATATTCCTAACTTCAAATTGACTTGAATAAAGAATTTTTAAAAAGATGTATTAACATCACAAGTAATTTCTTGTTTTAGCACTAAGCTTTGCATCAACGAATCTTCATCTTTTCATTGATAAATTATTTCATCTGCTGTAGTGGTGGCCAGATGAAAGTGAATTATCATTATTTCAGAAGGCCTAACAAATTGTGATTTACTTCAGAATGATTATGCAAAGGGACTCATCAAGTTGATTTCCTTCTGGTTTTGATAATTTATTTAGTAAAATAGCACTAATTATCTGAAGCATATCAGAAAGTCAAGAGTAGGGGCGCCTGGGTGGCTCAGTGGGTTAAAGCCTCTGCCTTCGGCTCAGGTCATGATCCCAGGGTCCTGGGATCGAGCCCCGCATCGGGCTCTCTGATCTGCGGGAAGCCTGCTTCCCCCTCTCTCTCTGCCTTCCTCTCTGCCTATTTGTGATCTGTCTGTCAAATAAATAAATAAAATCTTAAAAAAAAAAAAAGTCAAGAGTAGTAGCTAGGTCTGAAAAAGATTTCATGATCTGAAAAAAAATTAAACATTAAATGAATTTTACTTCCCGTATTACCTTTTATTAATCATCTTTTCCTCTATTTTGTGATCAGTTTTGCTTACTTTTTTTCTTAGCTTCTTCCTTTTTAATATCATTTTCCTATTGAAAATCCCAATTGTTTTTCTACAAGAGCAGGAACATCTGTTTCCTTTCAACCTGAGATGAAAAGTTTATATCAGCAGACAACAGATGCGAAGCATTAAAAGGAATGCTTAGGTAGGGTAAGAAATGGTAGGCTAATGTCTGTAGCTTTGAAACATTCTTGTTTGGTCAGAGTCTGAGTACATCTAAAAGCCTTTACCACCTAAGATTATTTGTTTAAATTTTAGGGTCTATAAACCCCAGAAACAAAGTTGTATGTATCATATATTGCACACTTATAAATGGTTTTTCATTTATAAATGGTTTCACACACAAATGTATATATACACACCTCACTTCTGTAATAATAGGCATGTCTCTAAGTGCCTCTTAAATTCTTCTATTATATAAAAATTCAAACATAGAAAGGTAGAAGAGTATAATGAAGCCTCACATCCTCAGCGTTTCTTCAACCCCACACCTCCCATCACACACAATGGATTATTTAGAAACCAATCCCAGACATCCTATCATTTAAGCATTTTTTTTTCCACTACAACATTCAGGGAAAGAAAAAGTACACAATGCAAAAATCGTGAAATTTAGATACTCCCATTAGGATCATGATAAACCTACTTTGCAAATTGATTTTCCAGCCACACTACTACAACAGTCCTTTGCTTGATATAGTAAGCCTGCTCATTATTCCTTAAACATGCAAATTCCTGATTCTGTGAGGATGTTTTCCATGATTTTGTCTCTTTGGGAGCCTGTTCTCTATTGTCAATCTAATTGTGCCCTTTCTTAACTTAGTCCTTGCTTTCTCCTTGAAACTTTTCTTGACTTTTCTTTATGAAAACAGCATTTTTTTTTGCCAGTATGGTTCAGTCGCTGCTTAATACATGCTACAAAGAATTGCTAGTTACTTTTTTGAATATATATCCTGTTCTAACTTGCTTATAACTGCTGTATGCCTCAGTTGTCTCATATATAAAATACAGGTATTAATAACACCTAACTCAAATATATGAGGATAAACAAAATAATCCTAAACAAGCCTCCAGTGAATATCAGTTATTATCATTAGCTATAGACTCCTGGAGGGAAGGAATCCTGCTATGTATTTTTTTAATCCTGTGTCTAGCCTCCTGCTCCCAAAAGAGTAGATACTAAATATGTGTTTAGGTATGTTGACTGAAAAGAAATCTGTACTTTGTATTTCATGAAGTTGTTATCAAATACTGTATCAATATACTCAAATGTTCAAAATATCTTTGAAAGATAAACATTGTGAAATACTGTCTTTTCTATATAGAATTTACCTTTAGAGTTCATTTATTGGGTTTTTTTCAAGTTATAAAATTTATATCACTTACTCTCATAAATGTAAAATTAAAATCCAGTTCAATAAGAAACCAAGACATAGTAAACTTTATCCTTTGTATATCCATGAAGAAGTGATTTGCATACAAAATAACTATTTAAATAGTAATTACAAATAAATTTTCTCTTTTTCAGACCATAAAAATAACACTTAGAAAATCTGAGAAATCCAAAAGAGTTGAGAATTGGGCTAAAAATTTTCCAAAGATAATCAGTGCTTTCTTCCTTCTTGTTTACATAAAGGTTTACACAGCTGAAGATACGCTGATTATGAAATTTTGTGTGCTGTTCTCCCCACTGCTTAGAATTGTACGAAAGCATTTTTTTTTCTTTAAGAATATTGATGAGTGGCATGTGTAATTTCTTAATATTTTGAATAGTTTGTAAATATTTATCATAAAAATATATAACAGGTTAAAAATACTGAGTTTCTGACAAGGCTAGTTCTTGTTTTAGGATTCTCTTGGCTGTTACTGCTTATTTCTTTTTTCATATGAACTTCAAAATCAGTTGTGTATTTCAAAAATAATTGGTTGGTATTGAGTCGACTTTAAATTTATAGATTAGCTTTATAATTTTGCTTTCCAATATAAGAACATGGTATACCACTCCATTCTACTTTAAGGTTTTTCAGTACATTTAAATGTTTAGTCAATTTTGTTCTTTAATACCAGTGCTGCATTTCTTGTTAAGCTTATTCTTAGATACATCAGCTTTTTGTTCTGGTTTCTCTTTTTCCATTATGTCTTTCAGCTGGTTGGTAATGTCATTCTGAAGGCTGTTGATTTAAATATTTTACTTATGTACCCAGCCACCTTACTCAATTTCCCTTATTGTGTGATTGTTTTTCACTAGGTTCTTTTGGGCTTTTCAGGTAGCACTTAACAGTTGTTTCTTTCAAAGTAACAGTTTTGCCTTTCTCAAAACATTTTGCAACTCTTACTCTTTGTCTAACTTCTGACACCATAGGAGGGCTTTCTGAGTTTACTAAATAAGCATGTTGCTAGGTACTATGTGAGATTGATACATTTTATCTACCTTTTGTAATGGAAATATTATTCTTATATTACGATATATAGTGGTATTCCTGCACTTTCAAAAAATTGTTTTAGTTTTTAAGTCATTACTTCTGGTCTCCTGTGTGGTAGGTACACAGTCAGATACCTGATGAGATGTTGTCTACTTTCAGGGATGAGCATTATAAAATGTTTAACAGTTCCTGTGAGAACAGAAAGGAGAGTTCTATATGAAAAAAGGAGACGGGGAGGCCAATGGGTTCAAGGAGACTTCCTGGAAAAGATAATGCTTGAACTGAATTTTGAATAGACTCAGCTCACCTCAGTTTTCCTCTACTGGAAAACTGATTTCCTGGGATACCCATGTTAATTTGTAAAATAAGTTTTAAAGAATGAGCAGTAAATGAGCAAGTGGTTTTCCTTCACCAAAATCTAATAGCTTAGTTTAGTCAATGCATGGAACATGATTGCTTAAATTTAAAGCATTCTTATACTAACAATTTCAGAATTGAAAGAAACTTTAGCCAACATTTAGTCTTATATACCCACTTTCCACCCAGTTTACAGATGTGAAAGAGAGACTGAGGTTAACGGTTCGGCTGGAGTCATATGGCCAGCCAAACTCAGAGCTTGTAAACTCTGTGTCCTGCCTAGTAGTCTGGGCTCCTAAAACATTTGTATTAATTACATATTGATTCGGTTTTGGATCCATGACATTTTCGGTAGTGTTTTCAAGTTCTCACATTTAGAATTTTTATTACATCTTCTGCATTCCTTAGCCTAAAGAATGGAGAGGGAAGTACACTCTTGGAATACTTTATGATTTGGGGTTTTAAGTGCTCACAGACATGCCATTCTGTTTGTCTTTGAGAAGAACAAAAGTATAATTCTTAATATGGAATTGTCTGGCATTTTTTACCTATGCTATTTTTCTTGTGATAATAATTTTTTCTTTTTCTCTTTTTAGTCTGCCATTTTCAATTTTCAGAGTCTGTTGACTGTAATCTTGCTGCTTATATGTACCTGTGCTTATATCCGATCCTTGGCACCCAGCCTCCTGGACAGAAATAAAACTGGGTATGTTATTAATGATATCTAACCACCCAAATTAGGTCCTATAGACATTGAGGGTAAATTACCGTAAAGGTCATTAAATAATTTAGTTCCTATATATAACTTCATTTTGTAACAGCTTTCTACATTATTTTCTCCATTTTTAAAAATCTGAAATCTCTGTATGCACAGAATCTTAATAAATAAAAAGACAGATATTAGAAGTGACCTGAAATGTGTCTATAAAAAGTACACTTAAAAAGATATGACAGGTTTTTTTTCATCTGGAATTAGAAATGCAATTTAGCACTTTCAAAGATAATATTTGGCCTTAACTTTTTATGCAATAATCAATAAAGCTGGTTATTTAAAAAAAAAAAAAAGTTGGTTATCATGTTTTAGAAGCATAAAACAGATGGCAAGCACTGTGTCCATAAAAAAGTATGATGTAGACATTTCCCTCTCCAGTCTAAGACTGTTCGAATCATATAGGTTCCCTATTAACATCAGAAAGCAAACATCTTCAGGGAAATATATTTAGCTAACTTAAAGCAATAGTAAAAATTAAGTCTTGGGCTTGACACATCTCTTGTATTATATGTTCACATCCTGAAAAAAATTGAGCTCAAATATAATACCACACAGAAGAGAAATTTTAAAGTGCCATCTTTATAATACAAAAGTACATGTTGAATTCAACCAAAAGGAAAAGTATATTAAAAACCAGAGACTATGTGATGAAAGCTATGTAAATTTTCTTTGCCTTGAATATTTATTAATTTCTAAGAGAAATTGTCTTTTTTTTTTTTTAATGTAAAGACTTTTTTTTTTAAGATTTTATTTATTTATTTGACAGACAGGGAGATCACAAGTATGCAGAGAGGCAGGAGAGAGAGAGGAGGAAGCAGGCACCCCACTGAGCAGAGAGCCCGATGTGGGGCTCGATTCCAGGACCCTGAGATCATGACCTGAGCTGAAGGCAGAGGCTTTAACCCACTGAGCCACCCAGGCGCCCCAAGAGAAATTGTCTTAATCGTTCCTTAATAAAAGCCTATACCTACTTAATCGTTTTAAGAAATAAAAGAATGAAAGAATATATTTCACATAGGAATAGTTATCTCCAGCACCTGTATCGGGCCAAATTAGGATCCTGCAAGGTCAAATTCTGTTTTTCAACTAATAAAAATCTGCAAGAGGCAAGGTGATAGCTATGAGAGTAATAATTTCAGCTTCTTTTTCCTTTACCTCCATTCTATGAGGACATAGTTAGCATTTATTCCAACATTGTGTCATCTAAATTATTTAGCTTTTGTTACCATTTCTTCCTTGTTATTTCCTAGGGTTGTTGAAATATATATAAAGGCACAAATAGAACCTCTAACTAGTTTGAAATATTAAAAATCCCTAATCCTGTTCTAATATACTGATCATCTGTTTCTGTTAGCCTGAGGGATTTTATTTAACCTGCTGATGTTATTTGCCCAACAGTTTTTGTGACAATGACCCTCTTCCTTTGTAGACGTTGACTTTTCATCACATTTTTTTCCTCTGAAGTCCTCTTGCACTTAGTCTTCACTTACTTTGTCCATTTTTAAAAATCAGATGAAATTACATAGTATTTTGTTCCTTTGTTGAAGTTCTGTAATCTTACTTGTTGCTTAGTTGTGCATGAATCCTTTCCATGAAACTAAATGGTTTTATTCTTTCCCTTCTGCAACCCCTATTGCCTTAAAGTATATGGTAGAAAGCAGTAAACATCCTCATTGATGTTTGGCTTGGTATTGTAATATAATACATATCATCTACCTAGTAAGATATTTAAGTGTTTATTTCATTATAAAAACAGTCACGTAGTAGTGGAATAGAATATCGATGCTTTGCTGCTGCTGTTATGGAGAAAGTAGGTTGCATGTGGAAAAGTCTGCTCCTCATTCTCTGGGGAGCAGGAATACATCCATTACATGCTACATTAAAGAAGGAGTTCTCAGGGCTGCCAACCTTACAGTAGAGGTTGAGTAGTAGTATATTTCTCCTACATATAAGACCAAAGAACTAGCATGCCTACTTCTGTATTTTGAAGCATGTACTCATATAGTCAGCTGCTTGAAGGCTTTTTTTTAAAACTTTGCTTCTATTTATATAAATGTTCGGCCCCATTTTGACTTGTACATTGGGAATATTTTCTCTGGGAGCAATGCTTAATGGGTCATTGTCCTTTTATAGTATATGTTCTTTTGAGACTCATAATAAACTGTCCTTTCATTATAGTGAATATCCCATGTTTAAGTAGAGATGTGTAGGCTAACTGGACAACACAGGTTCTTGATAATTTCACTTTTGAAAATAATTTTTTTGCTGCTTCAAGTAATACAGAACTAAAAAGCAGCAATAAATTATTGCTACTTTGCCTTATTTCATGTTATCATAGACTTGATTAGCTTTATCAGCATATATACTTATTGACTTATAGCCGTAGAAACCAAGTGGCATAATTGTATTGGTTTTTCCTAACTAATAAAGTTCCTGTGTTATAATAAATAGCGTTTGGGGAACGTGGGTGGCTCAGTCGGTTAAGCTGGTGGCTCAGTTGGTCAAGTAGCTGACTCTGACTCAGGTCATGATCCCAGGATCCTGGGATCGAGCCCCCATGTCTGGCCTCCCTGTTCAGCAGCAGAGAACCTGCTTCTGCCTCTGCCTCTGCCTGCCACTCTGCCTGCTTGTGCACGCACATGCACTTTCTTTCTCTCAAATAAATAAATAAGTAAATAATCTTTAATAAATAGCATTTGGCATATTACAGAAATATGTCTAGGTAGAGAAATATAAGGGAAAGGCCTAAGTAGTACTGATGAATCTCTAAGTTGCTTGAGTTAGGGAATTTTTTTCATTTATATAGTTTTTAGTATATGTGTTGTAACAATTCCCTAATGAAGCTTTGAGTTTTTTCTAGGTTATCACACCTGAACTGATCCTGATTGTGATCTTACAGTTTTAGATTATGTTCTGTGGGACTCTGAGTTTCCCATGGATGAGCTTCAGGTGTCCTGCCACTGGGTCCCTCATCCACAATAGCTTTAAATCTATGGGCATGTTATACTCAGTAGATTTTTAGAATCAAGGAACCATGGCATTGCAAATGACTCACCGATTGTCTTTAGTTTTTTGATGATATGTAAGCCAATTTTAAGTGACATCTAAAGTTACTATCACATGTGCCTTTATATTTTTTTTTAAGATTTTATTTATTTATTTGACAGAGAGAGAGATCACAAGTAGGTGGAGAGGGAGGCAAAGAGGAGAGGGAAGCAGGCTCCCTGCTGAGCAGAGAGCCCTATGTGGGGCTCGATTCTAGGACCCTGAGATCATGACCTGAGCCGAAGGCAGAGGCTTAACCCACTGAGCCACCCAGGCGCCCCAGTCACTTGTGCCTTTAATCTATGTATTACTGAACACAGCCCATTAGTTACTATTCTGAAGAATTTCTTTGTAATAATGAAATCAATCCTTATAAAAAGCCTATGAGGGTGAGTTTCTATTAAGGAGAAAATTTGCTTACAGTTATGCAGCCAATTAAGTAGGATTAAACTTAGGCACAATCTGGCCCTTATATTATTTTCAAAAATATCTTTAATCTTTGTCCTTTTACTCCTATAGTAAAATTTTTGCACCTGTCAGAATATCTGTCCTTCAAAATAAACTTGTATTTTTGCCCATTTCATGGCAACTGAACCATGAGACTTTTTGATTTGGGGTCAGGAAGTTATACTTCAAAGGAGGAATATATATAGAACTTAATCGAACCAGTAATTTCTTTCATTCTTAACCACTCATATATAATTATTCATCAGCCAGCCATCTCTTCGGGGGCCCCCCCCCAAAAAAAAAAGCATAACCTAAATTTCCCTGGAATTTACATATTTCAGTTTTGTTACTACACCACTCCTAACCTACTGCAGTAAGTACTACTAATTTATCTTGATTTGTAGCTATGTATAACACCATTCATAATTCTCTTCTTTTGTCAGAGCAACAAAATAGTTGTCTACAATGTTTTCATATCTTTTAGCTATCTCAGTGACTCAGTTGATTTTGTTTTAAATCTTCTACTTTTTATACATGCTGAATAAGTGATATATGCATATAATTTGTATTTAATTCATAGTATATTCATTCAAAGAATGGTGATGAACATCTTCATTCTAATTCTTATTTCCAGAATGTATGTGTTTTAAATGTCCTATTTAGTTAACTCATACACAGACTACCCTAAACTAGGATTTTGTACTTAAATTGAAAACATAGGCACCTATTTTTATATCCTTCCTTATTGAGTGACATAGTTATGTAAATGCTATCACTGGAGTTCATGGTTATAAATCCTTTAAATATATAACTACATTCTATAAAAAATAATTTCCTTAGTGTGAGTTTTATTTTTTAATGGCAAAAACACCCAAACCAACTGTGTTCATTTACCATTTTCTCAAAATTAATGTTTAGGGGCACCTGGGTGGCTCAGTGGGTTAAGCCTCTGCCTTCAGCTCAGGTCATGATCTCAGGGTCCTGGGATCGAGCCCCGCATCAGGCTCTCTGCTCAGCAGTGAGCCTGCTTCCTCCTCTCTCTGCCTGCCTCTCTGCCTACTTGTGATCTCTCTCTCTCTCTGTCAAATAAATAAATAAATAAAATCTTTAAAAAAAATTAATGTTTATGTAAATTGACATATATATTTTCTACTTTTGAGAGTTAAGCACTTGAAGTTGACTGAATCAGTTCTACAGTAAAAAAAACCCTGTGCACATTTTTGCTGCACGTATTAATTTACTGTGCATTTAACCTAGGATACAACATATATTCCAGTCTGTAACAGTTTCTATACACTGACATTTGATAAGCAAGTGTGTCCTACTTTCCTACATAAATGATAGCTCAATACCAAATTTCAGTTTTGAAGTATCAAAAGGTAAAATGCCAGTTTGTATTGAATCCTCTGTAGGTTACTGAGAAAATGATTTACCTTTCTCACTAATTAATAGCTACTATTTCCTTTTTTTATTATATGCAGATTGTTGGGTATATTTTGGAAATGCGCCAGAATTGGTAAGTGTCTGTTAAAATCGCCACATCTTCAGCTGTAAATTGTTGGGCAGTTTACTTATGCCATATTCACAGAAGGCAAACATCTGTTTTAAAACCGCAGGCTTCCCAGTTTTGAGCAATTTTGCAAAAGTTTGTCGAATTCCCCCAAACTCTTTTCCTTATGCTATTTAATACTAGACATGGTAGATACCTCATAAGACTTAATTAGCAGGAAGATGGAAACTACAGGAAAAATCTAATTCAAATATTAAATGCTATGCATTCCTAGTGTTGAGATTTTAGACAAATGTGCACAGTTTATAAGAATGCACACATTCTTATAGAGCATGCTGCTCTGTATAACGTGTACTATTTTGATAAAAGGATGAATTTTCCATCTAATGGAAGGCTCGCTAAACAGTCGTCTAAAATTACTCACTTTATTCCTGTATGCTAAGTCCAAGAATGTTATTTGTTGCTTTTGGAAAGCATTAACTGTTTCACCTGTCAAACTCATGTGATCATAACTGAATTTTGTTCTAATTGATTAAAGTTAAATATGATTATCTTCTAACTTCTCATAGTAAAATCAGTAGTGTCATAGTATGTTTTTGTTAAAATAATAATATACTCTTATCCCATCCCTATATGTATATAACATTTAGCACAGTGCCTAGTTCATAGTAGAGACTGAAATGATTGACAAGTGAATGAATTAAAATGTACTTTACTGATGTAATCCACCAGTGTTCTTAAATAATAGATTTTACCCTTTTTAACATAGCTAATTCAAAAAAAAAAAAAAAAAAAAGCATTACAGAGCAATTTGTGATTGTTCCACTTGGACCAAACAAAATGAATATTTCTCCTCTTTAGAATTATTTACACGACCCCCTGAAAAAAAGCTAGGTTTTAGTACTCTTCCAATATTTAATTTGTATGTAACTATTTTCTTTTATAAAGGTATGACTTCCATAAAAAAAAAAAAAAAGTTGCTGTATTTGACAGTATAATTAGTCTGACAACAGCCTGAATTACCCCAGTGAATCACTTTAAATAGGAGGGGGAATTTAGGAGTCATGTCCCTTAGATAAGCTGTGTTCCATCCAGAGTATTATGTTTTCTTTTGGATTCATTTATCATAGATGTGGAAGATTTAGAAGATGGTCCATAACAGGAAACGAAATTGATTAAACATTGAGAACTACAGATTAAGATTTTGTAACTTTTTAGAAATTTTTCTAAATAAAACAAATTTTAGAAATACGTTGTTAGCCACGGATATAAATAATTATGAAAGAGCAAGTTTTCTTCCTTTGAGCTTTTAATACTAGGCAAGACCCATTAACAGTGAAGTTGTAAGCTTCATACCAAATTACATAGAAGTCCTTTCAGAATATGTTACGATGAGATCACAAGATTTGTTGGTCTTTCAGGTGTCTTACTATAGAAAATGACAGTGTACTATAAATAGTTTCAGAGAAAAGTACTTTCTAGGCCCTCATCTTAATGTATTGATTATTGAAACAGACATCTTCTTGAGAATTCACTGTGCTTTTAACATGTTAAACTGTCCTTCCTCAATGTTCTTTGGACTTATTATCTCTTATGGTGACAGACATGTGAATCTTTCTTTTGTAGAAAAGATCATTGACTTTAGATAGGTAAAGCACAGGTATAGCCTAGATAAGTTGTTATCAATCAGGATATTTTAACGGTGTCTGGAGACATTTTTGGTTGTCACCACTAGGGTGGGGGGACATACACTGAGTACAGATCATGGATGTTGCTAAACATATTATAGTGCACAGAACAGCTCCTCACATAGAATGAGCCCAAAATGTCAGTAGGGCCAAAGTTGAGAGGGCTCAGCCTAGATTTACAGAGATCTGTGGTACAGACTTACCTGACATCCAATCATTCTCAACAGCTGCAAAGCCTAAAATAACAGTAGAAATCTTAATCACTTTAAAAATAACTGAGAAGGAAGAGATCAAGAGACAGAAGAGCACCCTTGATGGCTAATTCTGATAGCTAGTAGTAAATGTAAATATGTGTAAAGCAAACTGTTTCAAAGCCAAGTCAGCAAAGAAAATGAAATAATATTGTCAAGGAACAGAGTGCAAAGAATACCTCAAGTAAACTACAAAAAGAGAACATAGTGGAAGAATAGGACAGTTCAAATACAGTAAAATTCTCTGGATCAGAGGAATACTGAATATTTCACTGGTAAAAATATAAGAAGTCTGGAGTTAGGAGATAGAGCTTTCATCTTAATATTATGAAGTTGCTAATTCACAAATAAAATATTTAAATTAAGGGATTTTAAGTTAAATGTGAAGGTATTTTAAATCCATTTTGTGTAATAAATTAGAGAAGTATATACAGCTTCATTCAGTAGCCAACCCAGGTGACCCTTTTCACAATGGTTACTTGAAAGTATAGCTGAAAGTTTAAGGCATCTAGTCTATAGCTCTCTTAATGGTTTCCTGTGATATCATCTATTTTGATGTCTAATTATAAATTGTGCCTTTCTTTTTGCTTGGTCAGTTACTATTTTCATTTTTTCTCTTGACTGTATGAGTGCCATACGTTAAATGGTTCAGTTAAAGTGTTCGTTCATGACAATTATGTGAAAGCAGTAGCTTTTCATTTTGGCAAAATGGCCCCAAAAACGTTGATGCTGATAGGCAGACTTTCTCAGCCACATGCTCCTCTCTTATCTTGACACAGAATATATCCACCAAGAAAGGATACAATTTTAATAGGAAAAGGTCCAGCCAAATCATCTTATCATGTTACACATCACGTTACAGCAACTGTTTCACATTCACTTAAACAGACTGAAGACCAGACAAGAAGTAACATTCTTACCCAAGTTCAACCAAAGATGTTTAGTTCTACCACATGGCAGTCTCTTTCAAGAAAATCAAAAACAGGAAAATGAAACCCATGTGTAAATTATAGCATTCTAAGTTGGAAGATGAGGAAGAGAAGAACTTCCTCAAAACTTAATTTCCAACAGATGGAGAACTTAGGGCAATATTAATTTTTTCTTTTAGGTGTTTAATAAGACGATATTGGACAGTTAGAGTATCTAGCCCTAATTAGAGTGACTGGCTTGCTTATGAAATCCACTTGAAAATTATGTCTGAATAAGGTTTTGTTTTGTTTGATAATTTGCCCAAAAAATTAATATTAGTTAAAAATGATGACCCAAGTTATTTTTTAGTTTAAATTGTTTTTCTTTCTTTTTTTTTTTTTTTCCCTATTGAGATAGCAGCATTGTGAAAATGCTGTTGTCTCACTTTTTAAATTTTCCTTTAGCTAGAAAGCAGCCCAATGTCTATGGACAGAAAAATACTTTCAGAAAAACAGTGAATGTTTCTTCTACTTATATGTGTTTATCTTCTGTGAATATTGTCACTGAGCAGACACAAAGGTAAAATTAGTAACAACATAACTATGTGAGCTCTTTGAGGAAGCTCTGAAAAGAAAAAATGACCTTGAGGAATTTAGTTGAGAGGATGGTCAAGATTGACATTTTCCAGAGGTAATTAACTAAACTTGTCAAATAAAACAGTCCTTGCTGAAGGAATTTAGTTACTGGAGGAGAACTGATTTTATTTTATTTTATTTTATTTTATTTTATTTTATTTTATTTTAATTTTAAGATTTTATTTGAGAGAGACAGAGATAGTGAGAGAGAGCACCAGTGGGGAGGAGAGGGAGAAGGAACCTGGGGTGATCACGTGAGCTGAAGGTAGACACTTTACTGACTGAGCCACTCAGGTTCCCCAAGAGAGCTGATTTTAAACATAGAAAAACAAGTGAGGGGAGTATATATAGTCTCTACTACAACACCAAGTATATGGCCATGATTATTTCTAGAAGTAGCACATCACTCCCTCTTCTTCTTCCTTTCTCATGCACCCTCAAAATAGCATAAATGCCTTGTGCTTTGTGGAACTCTACAGCCCTTCAATAAATGAAAAGCAGGAAAGAACAAAATGAGTTTGGGATAACTCAAAATCACAGGGTCACTGTTTATAAGACAGCTTCACAAGCCAACTCCATTCTACTTCAGGCAAAGGAAAATCTCTAAATAAAAACAACTTTTAAACACATGTGAAAATTGACTCATAAAAGTGGCTGTTTTAAGTTCTACATTTCTAGCCCATGAGTAATCAAAGTTTCTCTTTAAACTGCAGTTAGTTAACATACAGTGTTAAAATGATTTTTTTCCCAAAACACAGTGATATACAGATATACAGATATACAATATAGTGATACGATATAGTTTCAGATATACAATATAGTGATACAATACTTCCATGTATCACGAAATGCTCATCAGGACAAATACACTCCTTAATCCCCACCACCTGTTTCACCCATCCCCCCCCCCCCCACCCACCTTCCCTCTGGTAACCATCAGTTTGTTCTCTCTATAGTTAAGAGTCTCTTTCTTGGGGCTCCTGGGTGGCTCAGTCGGTTAAATGACTGCCTTCGGCTCAGGTCATGATCTTAGGGTCCTGGGATCGAGCCCTGCATCGGGCTTCCTGCTCAGTGGGAAGCCTGCTTCTGCCTCTCCCACTCCCCTTGCTTGTGTTCCCTCTCACCCTGTGTCTTTCTCTGTCAAATAAATTTTAAAAGCATAATTTAGCTCATTTTGTATTGTACTTGCTTTTATGCTGCAGCCACTGCTTGTTTGGCCCATCTCCCCAAATGTATGGGCCCCCTAGCTAAGAACTTTATCTTGAGCCTCATGTACCCCTCTCCCTTAGTAACTACGGTTACTCCCGTAGTAACCTTATCATATCCATGATAACTTAAACTCAGTTAGTCAACATAAACATCTCCCCTTTTTTTTTCAATAGGTGAACGGAAGAGTCCTTACGTTGCAGTATGCTGTATAGTGATGGCCTTCAGCATTCTCTTCATACAGTAGCTTGGAAGAATATCAGAATTTAATTGCCATCAGATTTCAGTATGGGAAAGGACTTACAGAAAATAATGGAGTGAATGGTTAACCCTTTTATCTCTGAACATTGAATGAGATAAATTTCCAGCTGCTGTTCTCTATTTTTATTATTGGACCAATGTTCTATATAAATAGGATGTAACCATTTAATACTCAAAGAGTTTAATATGTCTGTAACAATCAACCTCAGTACTGTCACTACAATATTACATTCTGCAAATGTTATTCTGTTATGTCAGATACCAGTTTTTCATGAGGTATCTCTAAGGCGCATAATAGAAAACAAAATTGGTAAATGACCCAAGTTTCTTTCACTGTGATTTGGGAATGATAAATCCTTATAGAATGAGACATTTTTCTGGACTAGCTTTTTTATTGGGGAAAAAGTTCAATTTGTGTTGGTAAGGATTGCATTCATATTTAATAATGCTTGCTTTTTCCTCTGGTCATACCAGAGCATTAACAGAGTACCTCGAAGCAAACTCGCTAGTGTATCACAGGTGTTTCAGCTATTTAAAACAAGCTATGCAGTTCTTAAGGAGGAAGATAAATGAGATCAGACTTAAGAGTAGTACTGGGAAGATGTTCATATTTAGCATAAAAGAGTTTAGAATAACTGACTGGTATAGTAGCCTCTGAAAATTTGACCGGCTGTCATTCTCTAAATAAGACTGCATACTTAAAGTGAAAATAGCAAAATAGAACAATTACAGAATGATAATCCTGTTTGTGTTTTTCATTCTTTTTAGTGTCAGGTCTCTACTTATTTTAACTGCCCCAAAACACAAAGTATTTTGTTTGTTTTTAAATACAGCACTTTAATGTGTCTAGTTTACTTTTTATGTGTCAACTAGAACGAGAATCTTCTGAATAACTCAGTAGGTGATGATGAACAGCTTTCAGATCTGTTATCCTTATAGCTTGTCATAAGTGTCTTTGGGTTTTGATAACAAGGAAATACCTTCAACAGTTTCCATCAAAGCAAGAGAAACATTTGGAATATGACTAAAAAATTTTGCGTTATTAAAAGTTCAGTTAACATTTTTTCAGTTTCAATTGAAATTCAAGCTAGAAGGAACATAAACATCTTAGCTAAAAATTGCCCATTGTAGGTAGTACTAATTAGATATTGTCTACAGCTATTAATTCCTTTTCTTTTTTTAAGAAAATTATTTAGAGTTATTTGAAAATGAGGCTGCCAGTATCTCTTTCTGTAGAAACAAAGTTTGGAACTAAAAGCCATCTATTTTTAAAGACCACTTTAAAGTACTTGAAAAGAATTCTCGGAAACATAAGTAAAGCTTGTTAAACATTGCTTGCTTTTCTCACAAAAGATAAAAGCTGCTATAGGCTATCAATATAATTGTTTATTTTACATTTTTGGCATATCTCTCAGGCCAAAAGTTACATATTTTGCTTTAGAGAGGGAATCAGGTTATGATCATTGTGCCTACTCTGAACTGTCTCTTGGGCTTTGCATTAGGTCAAGAATTTTCAGAGTATCCTAAAAATAGTACTCTTATCAGCATATACATGCAGAGTAATTCACCTTTCTGGGTCTGGTTTCTGAGCCCATCTGTTGTCCCACTCTCCTGCCAACTAGACTTTCCAAAAGCTATGTCAACTAATCTTTTATATGCTAGCACAAATCTAGTATGAATAAAGGGAAGAATATTCTAGATAATCAGTTCTAGGGCATTTCTTTAAATTTGGCATTTTGGAGAAGCTAGGTGGAAAGTAGAGGAAGAAATTTTTTTGAAAAATCTGTGGTAACATACAAAAAATTTTGCTGTGTGTAGATGCTCAACAGAGTGGGAGGCAGCTCATTTCTGACCCTAGACACTGTGACCTTTTGAAACACAAGCTCTTTGGGACACAGAGAAAAGGATTCTATGATTCTATGAAGAAAAGCAATTAGCATTTTCTTTAATGTAGTTTTTTCAAAGAGCTACCACTGAATCCTGTTCTCTAACCCAAAGGGCAGCGTAGGTAGTTTTAGGCCCACAGAATATTCAGAGACTCCTGTTGTATTCTTGGTGGGGTGGTAGGATGCAGAAGAGGATTAAGGATTGATTTAGCATCAGATGGACTGTCTCTGTCACAGAGACTTACTGCAGGGCTAGAAGGGATATGTGGGTGGGCACTGAAGTCCATAGCTTACCAAGGTTTGAATACTCTGTGTAACCTCTTTCCTGGCTCCAGAATTTTTTTATTCCATCTCTCCTGGAAATTGTTCGGTGCTGATATTTTAGTTCCTGAATGGGCTCAGCTGTGTCCATGGCAGGAACTGGTCTTCTTTCGGGGCAGTCTTAAAAGATGGTCAAAAGGCCATTTAATCTGTTGAATTCCCTGCACGGCTTTAAAAAAAAATTGGATTCAAATCCAGTGTCTTGTAAATGCCTGTGCTCCTATGCTAGGCATTTTCCATGTTTAAATGCAAAATAGCCCCTTCATACTGGGAAGAATAGTAATAGGTAATTTGTAAAAGATTCCTTCACCTTAGTAATAGGCAGATAAGTCCCATTTTTTCTTAGGACCTAGAAGAGGTCAGAATGAAGTGACAAAGTAAAAAATGAACAGGTCTCTCCCTAGTTTTGTGGGAAAGACCTAGCATTTTGTAAATAGAATTTATACATTTGACCATTCTTTCAAGAAGCATTTATGGAGTACATGTAGTACCTTATCACTGAAGACAGAAAAGCAAGTACATAATTTCTGTCCTCTAGTAGTTCACAGTGCAGTGGATGAGAGAGATGAAATTACTTATAGAAACTGCAATGTGATAGTGCTTATTACTGAAATAATGCCAGGATTCTAGAAGAAAATAACGGTGACACCTTAGAGGTAAGAATTTCCTGCTAGAGAAGCAGTGCTTAAGCTGAATTTAAGAGTAGTTTGCAGAAGCACCAGTGGTATATTATTAACTATAAGCACCTAGCTTGTGCCACTTGGGGAGTATCAAGACATAAGCCTAAAAGTGAACTGAGGTTGGATCCTAGAGGGTCTTGTATTTTTTCTCACTACTATTACCTACCTCAAAATTGAAGTTAAGTGTATGTTCCCTTCTGCCTGACAAAAAGACTTGGGGAAAAAAAAAAAAATCTTCGGTGTATGTGTAAACAAGGTTAAATATATCCATGCAAACCTTAATTTGGACCAGGAATACAATAGTATACTCTCCGGAGACTCACTTGCATAGTCTGTAAAGGCGAGGTAACATTAGTTCAGTCACATATTTTCAGCAACTCTCAAAAGCTTATACTCGTCACTGCCTAAAGCAGCCATGATTCCTAACGCACACATCCGCACAAGAAGCGGAGGCGGTTGCACTGTGTACATTTTCCGGGTGCAGAGGAAAGATTTCTAGGAAGCAAGGACCTGCACTCTCTTCAAAGCCTTTGGGAAGTTACTGGATCATAGGAAGCTGAAAGGAATTGAAGATTCTTAGGGACCACTTTGAACTATCTATGGTGTTCAGTAAACACTAGATGTTCAATATCAAAGTAACTGAGTAATAGCAGCATTGTGAATACGACAGCCTCATCAGTCTAAATCAGCAAGTTACTACTGGCTTCCAAACATAGCTTCATAATTATGTCATGCATACACTGCCTTCCATGGTTTCTTTTACTTCGCCCTAAACCAATCCCAAAATAATTCGAATGCAACTCTGGCATCAAAAAAGGGGGAAGGTGGAAATCTATTTCCTGTGATTTTAAGTCAACAGAATCATCCTGTGTTGTGTAATAAAAACAAAAACAAACTCTCAAGAGCCTCCCAATTTTGTCTTACTGTCAGATGAGTGAGAACAGTTTAAGAGGTTAAAAAATAGAAATTGGCACCTTTTGAATAAGATGGGAAAAGATAAATGTTTCTGTTAATTTTACCTGTATTTTAATTCATGTCGAGATTCTGGGGAAATTTTTTTATGTTGTTTTGCATCTTAAAGCTGTTCTATTATATTGCCGTTTCTCTGAGTGAACCTTCAGGAGCCTAAATGACTTGCTTCAGATATGAAGACATTAATTCACACCCCCCCCTAGACACAGTAGAAATTGGGTTCTGAATGAAAGTGACAGTATTAATAGTTGACAGTACTTTAACCTTGTCCTCCACTAAGAGCCTTGAAATACCCATACATTCAGTCCAAAATCTGTGAGCAGTGTCAATCAGTTATTCAGACAATTTATACCATTAATTAGGAAATACAACAAAATTTATATATACTATGTGCCTTGCTTTGCACAGCATGGTCTTTCTACAGTTACATTTCCAGCACTGAACTGACACAGATTAAACTTTTGTTATAACTGTAACTAGAAAGGATGTACTTAACCAAATGAATTAGAACAACTATTTTTTTTTTTAGTTGAACTTTGAACTCAAAAAGCATTTCTGGGGGCGCCTGGGTGGCTCAGCGGGTTGAGGCTTCTGCCTTCAGCTCAGGTCATGGTCTCAGGGTCCTGGGATCAAGCCCCGCATCGGGCTCTCTGCTCGGCAGGGAGCCTGCTTCCTTCCCTCTCTCTCTGCCTGCCTCTCTGCCTACTTGTGATCTGTCAAATAAATAAATTTTTAAAAATCTTAAAAAAAAAAAAAAGCATTTCAGGTATGAATAGAAAACACTATCTCAGTTATTTCCTTCAGTGTATATTGTAAACCTCCCTCACTGTTCCATCATAACTGCCAGTTAATCTGCGACTTTATGGAGAAATATCCCTAAATTTCTGATTCCTAACTCAGGTCAAAACAATTCAAAATCGCTTTGCTTGAGACCACTGAACTTAACATAGTGGGAAAACAAAATCTGTTTTCAATTCAGAGGGTTTGTATTAATTTCCTTAACCATAACAGATTTGTCTGGGAAAAAAAACAAATATTGGAAATAAGGGTAAATCATTTCATAGACACTATATGGAGGATGAGAACACTCAAGAACTGCAAAATACCAGAGCTTTATTTGGTAAGGGAAGTAACCTGGGAGCAAATGTATAGTGATTGAGGGCGTGTAGCCAAATTGCCAAAACATGTAATTTATGAGTCATTTCAACATTTTTGATCAAGTATTATGTCTAGACTAAATCTTGGAAGAATGATGAGCAAAGGTACTGTTTAAAAAGAAGTATCGAACTGTTAAGGCATGAAGGATTTCAAGAGGGCCAGGACTGAAGAGAGAGTATTTCCAGAATTAAAGTGTTAAAGTGACCTGCCGGCTCAGGGTAACACGAAAAGATTTGACATTAGGAATTAAAAGTTATAAAGATAGAATGTTCTCAGTAACATTTCGTTAGGGCTCCTGAAAACCAGAAGATAGCATTTTCCTTTTTATTTAATAAGTAAATATTCACTTCCTTCTTAACTAACGTGTTATTCACAAATGGAAACTTTATTAATTCTTGGAAAATGATGAGAGTACTTTGACTTGTAAAATATAAGAAGTTTGCAATATGAAATTTAGAGAGCTATAGAACACAAAATATAGGGTAATAAAGTGGGATGGGTTTTCTGAAAATTGAGTTTTATAAGTAATCTAAACCTCACTCAGATCTCTGTTAATGGGTCACATTTTTAGCTCTAAGTGAATCAAAGCCAAAATAACATAGTGACATAATTCTAAGCCCTCAACGTAAAATTGAATTCATACTACTGGCAACTCCAACGCTAGTTGTTTTTAAGTATTAACCATCACAAGCACCTTTTCAGAGAAGTGTAATTGAATCTGTT